GGGCCCTGGGCGGCAAAGCTCCCCCACCGCTGCGGGCCCCCCGTGGCTCCGCTTCAGCAGCAGCATCTCCTCGCCGGAGGGATGGTCCCCCCAGGACCCCCTCCCAGGGACGAGTGCCGGGCAGGCACGGGAGGCCAGCGGAAGGAGTCGTCACCCACGCAGCGCCCTCCGGCCGGGCGGGACTGCGGTTCCCATCATGCCCAGGCAGGCAGCAGGCCAATCCAGCCGGAGGGCATCAAGGGCGGGAAGGCGCTGCAGCGGGGGCGAAGAAAAGTTCTAGGGGGGAGCAGCAAGGCTGGCTAGATTTGCCCTCCCGGGGCTGCATTTTGAGAGGTGGGGCTGTTTCCTTTGCTCGCTCGGCCCCCCTGCGTCGCTGTGTTGGGGGGCACGTTCCCAACGAGGGCCCAAGAGAAGGGGGGAGGCGCCCGCTCAAGCCGCGGGGCCTTACCCTGTGGGGGAGCGCCCGCACAAAGCCGAGCCTTGGCACGGAAGCGCACTGGGCTCGGGCAGCATCCGTGGGGTGAGGGCGCCGCCCTCGGGGGCTCGGGAAGGGGAGCCGCTTCGGCAGGGCCGGGGGGGGCTTGCTGGGGAGGGCCCCCGCTTTGCCGGCTGCTTCCGGCCGCTGGGAGGTGGCCTGGACTCGGAGGAGGAATGGGAACGTGAGCCTGCGTTTCGGAGGGGTGGTTCCCGCCCAACTGCCCGGAGCAGCAGCAGCCAGCGTGCGGACGCACGAAAGGGGCCGCTCCATTTTGGGGGACCGAGGAAGTGGCCGCTGCCCCTTCGGTGCCCCGCGTGGCCCCTCTGCCCCACGGCTGCCTCCTGGCGGCGGGAAGAGTCGGCTGGCCTCGCGGGTGGGCAGGCAGGCCCGGCGTCCGGAGCGCAGCCCTTGGCGGGGCAGTGGGGGGCATCGTCCGGGCGCCCGAGGCTGCGCCTCTCCTAAAGTGACCAAGTGCTTCGCGGGTGCCGTCCCCTCCGCGTCTCCGGCCCGCCAGGAGCTCAGGTCTCGAAGTACTTGTAGATCTGGGCGACGTACTGCATGACGCTCTGCCAGTCCGGGCGGTCCGTGTACATGATCTCGCTCAGCTCCTGGGTGGAGGGATGGAGGCCTGTTCAGGTGGGGAGGCGGAGGACCACCCGGGGACCCCGGAGCGAGCGCCCTGCAGCAGGTGCCCCGAGGGCCGCCTGAGGGGGCCTCCCCGCCCAGCCCAGGCGCAGGAGCCCCCACCGGGGGCCCAAGGAGAGCTGCCGGCCCTGCCCCGTGGCTCCTCGCCCCCTCTGCCCCCCATCCCAGCAAGCAGCGCTGCCCACGCCGGGCCAGGCACGTCCGAGTTTCGTGGGACATGACGGGTCTCGACCTCGCCTGCGGCAGCGATCGAAAGCCGCAGCCGAGAGCAAAGCCCGCTCCTTCCACAGCCCCGTTTACGTGCTGGGGAGGCTTCCAGGAAGCGACGGGCAGCCAAAGCTAATTAAATCTGTGCCGTGAGCCTTTTTAAGAAATGAGATTAATAACAAATTAAAAAGAATAGAATAGAATTGAGATGGCACACGAAGCCAGGGGGGGAAATTCATCCAAGTTTTGGTGGAAGCAAAGTGGATTCAAGGTTTGGGTTAAAATGCCCCCAGCAACTTCCAGAAGGACGGCTGGGTTGGCCCACATGTTTCAGGGCAGGAACAGTGTTGGCTCTGGATGCACAGAGAACGGTGTGGGCTGGGGACTGTGGGAGTTGTAGTCCAAGACATTGGGGGGGGGGGGGCACCCGCTTGGGAAAGGCTGCTCTGTCGCTCACGGGGCTGGATGAAAATCAAATCGGGAAACAGTTACTGGGACCTGAGGCCACCGTGAGAAGCGCTTCCGATCCCGGAGGGCATGCCCCGCAGAGCATCCTGCATGGGCGCCCCACGGCCCGCTTGCGGGCATCCCGTCAGGTGGCCCCCCAACTGAAACGGGCGCCTCGGCTCGCGCCGCCCCGGCTTGAGTGTGCCGTGGGGCAGCGGGTGGGCGGCTTACGGGCTGCCGGCCACCCCTGGCTGGAGCGTCTCGGCCCGGGGCTCTCCAGTGCGGCGGCGGGGGCGGCCTCGCATCCTTGCACCCCGGTGGGGGAGGAAGCGGCACACGGCCCTCTGCGCACAAAAGCCCCTTCCCCACCCAGGTTCCTGTGGCCGCCCCCCCCGCCCGCCCCCTCGCGAGAATGCGGCCGACACTCACCAAGCTGGGTCTGATGCCCACGCTCTCTGCAGCCTGGAAGGCCAGGAGGAGGTTCCTCTTCTGTGGAAAGCAAGGGGGCAGGGAGCGGGGTCAGGGCGCGGGTGCCGGGGCAGGGGGGCCGCCGTGGGACCGCCCTTTGGAGAGCGGTCAGTTTGCGCAAGGCCGCAGGACCGCGGCGTCCCCACAGAAACTGTACGGACAGCCCAGAAGCCTCTGTCCCCAAGGACACTGGACGTGATCACCGTGGTTTTAAAGCCGACCAGTTGGTCCTTCCGGAAATTGTTCAAGGCCTTTTGCCCTGGCAGGTTTTGCACATTTCTCCTTGCGCCTTTTTGTCGTGTCAAGTACATTTATGCATGTACAGCCTGACTTGCCCTCGGCACATTCAGGAGATGGGGCCAACCACAACGATGAAACCACAGATCTGCAATCTGGGGCCACCTTCCACACGTGCTACTCAGCCAGCATCTGGAGAGCATCAAGTTGATGGAAGCGGAGTTTCTCCCATGACCCAACAGCACCAGAGACAGTTCAAACATCGGGAGAGCCACAACATTTCAGCAAAAGCACCGTTTTTGGCCAAGCCACCTTTCTGAGGTGGCCTGTGAGTAAAGGAAAGTTGCTGCTGCGTAACCTTCACGGCGGAGATGAGGAGAGAGTGTTCGGAGCCGGAAATCCAGCCCTCAACCCGGTGAATGACAGTTTTATCTATTTAAACCACAAAGGAAGTGATTTCAAGCCTGCGAAGGTGAGTTTAAAAATAAGATTCGGCCTGCTTCCCATTGTTTCAAGGATACACAGCGATGGCGGCGAAGGAAGCAGGGCAGGCATGGCTTCGGCGCCGGCTCGGCCCTTCCCCTCGCCCGCGCTTGCCGCCTGCTTTGTGGACCGACTTGCCTGGGGAAGCAGCTTGGCACTCTGCGCATGCCGGAGGTGGCCTCGCAGCTGGCTAGTGCATCTGTTGCGCCCATGCGGATCTCAGATATTTCGGTCAAGTCCTTCCCTGCCTGGCCGCCTAGAGAGAATGCTCCACTCACCATAGGTGATTAGTGTGTGCGGGGGGGGGGGCCTTCACAGGGCAGGGGCCAGTCCTCCTTCCTCAAGGACACTCTGGCTGCTCTCCAGCCAGGCACACATGGGGACTTATTGCGCATGAGCACAGATTTCTGCTCGCCCTTCCCCTCGGTTTTGTAAAGTAAGGGAAAGGTGGTTGCTACTCATTATCACTTCCAGACACGGGGATGCGAGAGAGCGGAAATCTCAGTCTTATCAATCCCCAGGTTGTTGGTGGTTCGGCATGACACTGCATAGGATGCTTTGAAATATTTGCATTCTGTTTCATATTTTTAATGCTTCCATGGCAGGTTATTTTTTTCAAGGCCCGATCCTGTGCGCCCCTCGCTGGGGCCTCTTGGGAGTTGTAGGCCTTTCTTTCTGCCCAAAGAGAAAGCCGTGCATTCTTGCCATGGCTGCTCTGTCAACAGCCCCCACCCTGCCTTTGAGACGACCCCCTCAACCCAAGCTCAGCCCTCGCGTCTGATGCTGTCGCTGATGTGAATTTGCAAAGTGCTCCTCCTCTGGCCAGTTTCTCTACAGATTTCTGTAATGATGAAGTGTCAGAAAACGCATTATATTTATTGCGTTCTTTAAATTCTACTTAAAAACATACCCAAGTTTCTAGTCCGCAGGCACTTCCCACCATCTGCTCCAGCCCCGCACCCGCACCCGGGGCAGGAACTCACCTTGTCCTGGCTGGTGAGCTCCTGGTACGGGATGTGGGCGGGCAGGTAAGTGTGGAGCAGCGCACAGAAAGCCAGTCCGTCACTCCAGCTGCTGCTGAAGTTGGTGATGTCTATGTTCTGGGGAGGGAAAGCAGAAGGGAGGGCAAGCTTGGGAGGGGGAAGCGGCAACTGGCCGGGACAGAGGACTGCCCAGGCCACCCCGGGGGCCGGGGAGAAGTCGGCGGGGCCTCTCCGCCCGGAAGACCGTGCCCTGGCCAGGGTGCCACGCCTGGAAGGCGGCCCCCGAAACAATCAGGAGGCTGGTGCGAGGACAGGTGGCCGCGAGGGGGTGGCCTGGCCGAGAAGGAAGGGCCGGGGTGGCCGAGGGGCACGAGATGACCCACCCGAGGCGCCCGGCAGGCCTGCTGGTGGGGAGCGGCGGGGCAGGGCAGGCGAGAGGAAGACCCTGGTGCAGCACTCGGGGGGCCGTCGGCCACATCTCACCCTCAGGGTTATACCCCGCCTTTGCCCCCATTCCTCGCGCTCCTCAGCGCTCGATCCCACATCCGGGGGGGTGGCACTTGGACTTCCTGCCCGCGGCTCCTGCACTCCCCTCCGCTCCGGACCTGCGGGGACGGCCATGGAGCCTCTCTCAGCCCCGATCCCGCCGCTCGAGTGCCGGGCAGGGACGAAGTCCGGCCGGGAGGTGCCAAAAGAGCGGCGCATTTTTAGCTTGACGACAGTTCCTGCCGGCCGCGCAGCATTCAAGGATGCAGCTCGGCCTTTTAGAAGGAACGGTGGAAAGGACACAAGAGCTGGGAGACGCTCGAATCGTGGGGGCTGGCAGAAAAGGGGGGGTGGCCACCTGGAGGACCCCGAAAGGCCGGACCCGAGAGGGCCAGGCGTGCGTTTCTCTCACCCTGAAAGAAATCCTCGAAGCAGCCTGCACCAGCGGCCCCCTTGGGAGAACCGTCTCAAGCCCCCCCCCCCCCCCCAACGCAGGGCTTCAGCCCTCTCGAGGGATGGGCTGGCCGCTCGGGCCCTCTGGACGGCTTGACTGCAGCCCCCATCAGCCCTCACCAGTGGCTAGGCTGGCTGGGGCTGATGGGAGTGGTAGGCCTTCATGCCCAGAGGGGCTGTGCAGCCATGCCCCCTCAGCGCCCCCTGCCTTGAGCCAGGGGTTGGACTAGGAGACTCCAGAGCCCCTCCAGCTCCCAGGCCCCAAGTGCCACGAGGCCAGGGCCACGACGTGAAGTTCCTGCACATCCCAGCAGCCGGGAGCCTGCGGAGGTGGCGGCCTGGACCCGGCGCGGCCTCCTGCCCCCCGTCTAGCCGGCGCCTCGACTGCCCTCCAGGGCCCATCCTGGCCGTGGGAGGCGGCAAGCCGGCCTTGCTGGAAGGCTCTGCTCCCCAGGCCCGGATCTGAATTACCAGGACCTTTAATGACGTTAAGCCGCTCGCTCAGCTGAGATTGGATTGCCACCTGTGCCAGTTTTCACAGCAGGGCAGGAACACGGGAAAGTACGGCCATTTGTTTTCTGGAGGGGGCCCAGCACCCAGCTCGCTCTGTCTGGGGCGGCCACTCCCTTTCCTCCCTGCCGAAATGCCCCCACTGGCAACCCCTTGCTCTGTGCCCTGCACCAGGAGTGCGCCTCCTCGGCCCGCCCGGCCTCCGCTGCAGGTGCCTCTTCGGCGGAGCCCACCTCGCAGGGTTCCTGGCGGGCTACATGGGAGAGGCCCACGAAGACCGGAGAACAATGCAGCGCAGCACGAACGAGGATCGGCTCTCGGCATTTCCGGAATGCGATTCTGCAGGAGTGGGACCTGCTGGGATACATCCTGCCCGGTCCATGCGATCCTCCCAACATGAAAAGCAAGCTGCAGGCCGAGGGGGAGGCGAGCGCTTGGCCAAGAAGGAAGTCGGCCGAGGAACAATGACCCCGGCGTTGCTTATCTGGGCCGGGGGAGCCCACACCACGCCGGGCGGCCCTGGCCACGGACACGCACGCAGGGCCTGCATCCGGCTGATCCCGCCCGCCCGCCGGGGGGCTTCTGGGGCGGGCGGGCAGCTCACCGCGGGGAGAGGAAGGGGCTGCACAGACACGAGCAGGGACCCTTTGGAGCAGCCCTGGGGACAGTCGCGGGGGAGCGACAGTCCGGAAGGAGAGGAAGGCCGAACAAGGTGCAAAAGCCTCTGAGCCCAGCGTCCTTTCCTAGCGATGGCTGAGAAACCCCCACGAGCTTCACATCAGCCTGGGCTCCACGGATCTGCCCCACGGCTTCATCCCCGGCAACGCGGCTCTGTCTGAGCCGGGCAGGTTCCGCAGTGGCGTCTCACGTTTGGCGGATCTGTGCAAAATTCAGCCGGCGCCACGGTCTGCTGACGGGTTGATTTAATGCGTTTCTCACCCACTTTTTTCTTCCAGGAAGGAATCCAAAACAGCTCGCTTGGTCACCCTTTTCTCCGCGTGGTCCTCGTAACAACTCTTTGGGGTAGGCAACGCCAGTGCTTCTTGGCAACCCAACAAGCGCAGATGCTCCCCTGCATCCCACAGCAGTGCAAATTGTACACATTCCCGGCCAAAACAAAAACTGAAAACCACAGCCCCCGTCAAACGAGCAGAATTTGGAATGGAGGAAGACATAAAATGAGCAGAGCGAAATCTGTGCGGCCCCGAGTGGCCGGTCGGCGGGCTCTCTCTCTAACTGGTGTCTCCAACATGACGGGGTAGTGCAGTCTGCTCAGGCGGGGATAATCCGCAACGTGCCCCAAGCAGGAAGCAGTAAAAGTCGGCCGAACCACAGGGACTGCTTAATTAAAGGCACAGGGGACCCTTAGACATCTCACCTGGCATTCCCCTCTGCCCATGTTTTTCATGCAGTCCTTTTAGAGTACCCAAACTCTAACCCAGCCAGCAGTAGTTCGTAGTTCTTTTATTATTTATGCCTCCGGCTACCAGTCTTTTCCTTTCCAGCTGCTGTCATTAAGACAACCTGAATTCAAGAGGTTGTTTAATTTATCTTAAGCACTTAATTCAGCGCTGCACAAATATTTTAAAAGTCAACAAGGCTCAGAGAGAAGGCTGATCCTTGAAATAATAAAATATCAAGCAAGAAAAAGCGGGGGTTAAAAGGAGAGGCAGAGGAAGAGGAGAGGTTGGAAAGAGAACTTGTTCCCGCTACTTAGGAAAAAGCAAACTGAAATAAATGAGTTTAAATTTGTTTTGCTTTCAGAGCAGCCCATTAGGATGTTCTCATGTCCTTGCTGCCTTTTGCAATCCCACCTTCTGCACCTTCATCTCAGAATTGCATTCTAACCCGTTTGAGGGAATGTGCTGCCAGGTACACAGGACTCGGGACAATTTTTGCGGAGGTAAGTAATACAGCTTCCCCCACGGATCCTGCTCCTCCTCATTCTTATTACAGTTTGGCTAATTTTGCTCTGACTGCAAGCCATCTTGGGTCTTTTACAGAAAAGCAGCAGCGACGGTGACGAAGTGATATCCACCTCGAGACCTGCCTATGAAACTGGATTTCTATCACCCCGATTGCCATTTTCCTGGCAAAAAGACAGCACTGAAGCCAAACAGAACATCATTCGGCAATGTCAGGGCTGTGGACTTGGGCGCCTCCTTCCCAGGACAGCAGCTCGCCTGACGCTCGGGCTCCCCCATTACGACTGCCATCCTGCTGCGCCAGCTTGGAGGGCTGCAACACGAATGTCCCCAGATTATCTCAGCCTGACCCGTCGGCTCGGGTGCCAAGATGCTGCGGTGAATTATGGCCGGGCAGGAGACGGCACTGGCAGCTCTCCGCCAGGCCGTCTCCGGAAGACATGCAGCCTGGTGAGCTTGCCCTCAGCCGGGCTTCCCCATCATTCCTCCCGAAGCAGCGTGATGCACAGGCCCAGACGAGGAGACGTTTCGGGGTCCTCCCCCCCCGCCCCACTCATTCTGAGAACGCCTCGTTGGGGCTCGGATGCTGCGAGACGGGCCCCAAACGGTCTGAGCCACGTTGCAAGGGGCGGTACGGCATATGACTGTTGCGCAACCCCGTCAAAAACCCGGAAGCGAGGAATTCCCATGCGGACGTGGAAAGTCCACAGGGCCGTGTCAGGTGCGCACAACCGGCTCCCCTTACGGACACACAATCCAGCCAAATCCCCGGGATGACAACAGCAGCAGGAAGAGAACAGTCCCCTTTGTGGAGGGGATTAAATGCTCCCTTACCTAATGTATGGTTCCTCCCACGTCCATTATTTTCTCTTGACAGCCGGAATTGTGCAAAGGTTAAAGCCACCCCCTGCCGCCTCCAGATGTGCTGGACCACAACTCCCATTGGCCGGCAGAGACGGCGTGCTGGACTAGGACCGGTTCGATCCCCCACTCCTCCGTGGGACTTCAGGGCCTGCTCCACCCTGGCCTCCTGCGCGCTGCAGAGGATTCTGGGAGCATGTCAGGGGAACCGCTCGGACGGCGGCCTTCCCTTCGGGACAGCTCTGGCACACCCGACACCCTCCTGCGCCCGCCCGTTGCCGGAAAAAAAGCCATCACAGCAGGAAGGAAGGAAGGCAGGCAGGCAGGCTGCCCTTTGAGGCCATCATTAATCACTTAACATTTCTATCCTGCCTTGAGCATGGAGAGGGAGGGAGACCGTGGCACCACGAGCACCCAGCAGGCTGCAGGGAAGGGGATTCTCTGGGGTCCACTCTGGGAGACCCCGGCCCCAGCGTGAAAGCCCCCGCAGCGGACCCTTGCCACCCTGGGGAGCAGCGGTGCACCAGGAGACGTTTGCCGACGGCCACGGGGCCGCTGCGTGAAGAAGCTCCGGCGAGACGCGGCTTGTTTACTGGAAGGATTAGCTAAAGCTGCCAAGCAGTCAAGGGGTCAAGCAGTTCTCAGAGCCCTCTCCGAAAGGCCTGGCGCTCAGCACAGAGGCCAAGGCACTGACCACGGGGATGTGGCACCAGCCACACCACACGTTGCTCTGCACCTGCCTTCCCTGGATGGGGGGGATTGCAGTTCCCATCGTTCCCACAGCCACAGGACACGATGGCTGGGAACGAGAGGTGCTGCCATCCAACACCTCTGGGGGTTGCCAGTCTGGGAAAGGCCGCTCAGAACTGTGCCGTGTGTCTGCAAGTGTCGGCAGCGGTTTTGTCGCCCGCTTTCACACATCAGACGATGGGGAAGACACGGTCCGGTCAATGGGGTTTGAAATTGAGCTTCGACGGCATGAAAAATACGGGGTGAGGGAAAAGGCGGGTGGGACTTAAGAGTTCCCTTGTGACTTTAATTAAGCACTTCCTGTGTTGAAGCCCATTTTACTGCTTCCTGATCACTGAGGGTGCAGACTGGCCCTCTCTGAAGAGGCTCCCTTAATTTCAGTGTTCCCATGAGTATCAGCTTTGCATTATTACTTCTCCTCCTCATTTCGTGAAGTGTTTTGCAATGCAAAAAGGAACACTGAAAATGAAAGTTACGAGGAGGGCTCTGGAGACCCACCCAGTGCAGCCGCAGTACCAGGAGGCTCTTAAGCAATCGGCCAGCATAAAAAATGGCAAACTACCAACAATGGTCCAAAGTTTCGGCTGGACGATGGGCTGCGTTGCCCCCTGCTCCAACCTTGCATGCTGCAGATGCGCTGCGAGGTACAGCTCCGTGCACCAGGCGGGCGCTGGAAGGGGGAGACCACATCTGGCACGTGCGCTTGGCGAGGAGGAGGAGGAAGTGTCGCCCAACATCTGTGCTTTCGCTGCTCCTGCTGTTACGGGTTGAGGGCCCAGCGCAGAGAGACTTAATCCCGCCTGGGGTTTGGCCTTTTGTCAAATGACTCCTCTCTCTGCAGGGTAAACAGCCAGGGCTCGTCAGGAAGGCCCTAATTGCTAGTGACATGATTAATGAAGGCAGGCGCTAATGAGGCGAAGTGGCCGCAGAACAGGGACCCGGCGAAACGGTCTGGCCTGGCCACGGGTGGCCCGCACTGCCGAGTGACTCCCCCACGTCGGTCGGAGCCCAGCCGGGGGGGGGGGGGGGCAGAATCGGTGAGGGCCGCACCTGCAGCCTCGCTTTCGCTGCGCCGTCTCCAGGGTTAAGGGGAATTGCGTTCTCGAGAGCCACAAGACGCCGTGTGGCCGGCTCAGCCCGAGTGTCACCAGGTCAAGAGGGCTTACGAGGGGCTGGAAAGCTGTCCCAGCCCAGGGAGAGCGAGCACGTGCCGGGCGGGGCCTGGGGGGCCCTTCGGAGCCTGGGGATGGGCGGAAAGGGCTCCGTGATGGCAGGCAAAAGCCGCCGGACCAAGCGCCCCCCCCCCCGCGGGCACTTGGCCTTTATCCCTCCGTTTTATGTCCAGAAAGAATCGCAGTTTTGCCGCCCGATCGCAGAATCATCCACCAGACCGCAGGGTTTGAGAGCCCCACCGATTCAGCGCGCAACAAGACTGCGTGTGGGGAGGCCAGGTGCCGGCGGGGTAAAAGCAGCCTTCCCGTGCTGGGTGTCCTTCAGAACCGCCAGACTGCAAATTCCATCATCCCCAGCCAGCACGGCTGTGCATGATAGGAGCTGCAATGAAGCACATTTGGTGGTCCCCAGGTTGGGGGAGGCTGGGTTAAATGCACACCCAAAATGCACATATTTGTGAATATACTGTTTGAAAGGCGCACGATACTTGAGAAATCGCTTGCAAGTAATGTTTGTCTGACCAAGATGTGTAGAAAAATCCGTATCCTGAGAGTAACGGACACGTAAGAGAGAGTCAGTGGTGTCAGGATCAGCGCCCTGGACCTGGCGAGAGAGCTGGGCTTTCACCTCCACTTGGCAAGGAAGGGCGACTCTGGGCCAGTCACTGTCTCTCAGCCTAACCTACCTCACAGGGTTGTTGTAAGAGCGAAGCCAGAGGCTCACATAAGCCGCTTGGTTTCCTTGCAGGAAAAGGGCAGGCCGTACCCAGAATAACAAGCGCTAATGTAACGAGAAAAAGGCATACAAATTTCATGCGATTTTCTTTTTCAATGGAGCTCCGAGTCTGCGGCCAACTGAATTTACCACCTGGGAGATGAGAAACGGAGAGAACGCAATCGGAGAGATTCCGCGTCCCCTCGTTCCCTCTCACCTTCCAGAACGCCACCTCATGCCTGCCTTTCCCCCGCCACCTGGAGAGGCGCGCCCGCCACGCTCCTTGCGCGAGAGCTCCTTCGGCGCGTCCTCTGTGCCAGGGAAGCGAAGCCTTTCGCTCCAGAGAGATGAGGGCCAGGAAGAGAAGCGCATCGAAAATAAAAGCCCTGAAGCCTGGGCCAAAAAGGACAGGTGCCGCTTTCTGATGGCTGTGCAGCGCAGCATTAGCAGCGGGTCTTCTCCAAACGCCAGAACAAAAATAACCAAGTGAGTTCCGCTCTCCTTTGAACCAAGAGGGTGTGTGGGAAGGGTGTGTGCATTTTTTATTTTCTGCAAACACAGGCTTGGTTCCAAGGAAGCACCGCAACAAGCAGGCCCAGGAGTGGCCCGGCTCGCCCTTGTGGGCGGTAATGTGCTGGCGCGGACGGCCTGCCGGGCGTTGGCAGGGGCTGCCGAAAGGGCCTCGTCCCCCCACCCCTTCCCAGCTGGCTCTCGGGACCTACCCCAGTCGAGTTCCTCAAACGCCGCCCTCGCTCTCTCTTCTCGCCTGCCCTGGCGAATTCCCTTCCCTCCCCAACTCCGCATTTCCGCTCTCCAGCCTTTGAGGGAAAAGATACTTTTTCCACGGGGGAGGGATGCCCCGCAGAGACCGCGCACCCCTTCAAAGCGAAGCATTTTACCCAACGGGAAAGGAGTCTGTGTCGGGGAGCGCGAACAAGGCGCTTCAAAGAGGCAGGCGGAGAACCCCGAAGAGGGCGCGCGTCGGGGGCTGGCCTCCTCTGAGGCTCAGACTGCTTTTTGTGGGTTCGCAGTCCACCAACACCGGAGGACACGGCGCAGATGCCGCTCACAGGGACGAGCCCGGCCGGCCCCGGGGCGTACTCACCGGGTAGCCCTCCGTCTTCTTCTGGCACCACTTGAGCAGCGCGTTTCTCTTCGAGCCGCCGTACTCCCGCGCCAGGGCGGCCAGGGGGTCCCTCCTTTCCACGCTGAGGACGGGAAGGGAAAGAAGAGCTCCTGCTAGGGGCTGCCCGGGGGTCCCGCCCAGCGTCAGAACAGCCACGGGGCTGCAGGAGCTCGTGACGGGACGGGGACTTGGAGGCCTGCCAGCGCTGCCCCTGGGCTTAAGTGCAGGGATCTCGGAAACCCAGACCTCGGCTCCATCCCGCCAGTACCGCCAACACTGGCTGGCAGCTGCACCCCAAAAATGTTCCAGGTGGGATTCCTCCCTAGTCTCGCCCAGAGGTGCTGCTAGGGATGTCAGCTAGGGGTTTCCTCCAGCAGGGCTGGCGTCCTATGGCCCTTTCCCTTTCAAAATAAAGTTAATCTTCTAGTCCTCACGGTTCTGAATGAATGACTGATTTTGATAGGATCGTAAAGAGCTGGCACCCTGCGTCAGAACCCTGGTACTGTCCACACAGACCGGCAGCCGTGCCTCTCCAGGGTTTCGGGCAGAAAGGCTGGCCTCGAACCAGGCACCTCCAGCGTGGAAAGCCAAGGCTCGGCCACGGAGCGGCAGCCCCTCCCCAGTCGTCCCACTGGAACAGCAATAAAGCCGTACAAATGACTACCGCACCCGGCCAGCCTCTGCCCCCCGGCAGGGACTTTGGATTCCTGGTGCAACTGCTCTTGCCGTCAGGAAGCGTCTTTGGTGTCCCAACAGATGTACTGGCCATGTCCCAGCCCTGTTGGCATTTAATCCTCCCCAGCAACCGCGAGAGCCTGCTCTAGCGTTGGCTGGGAATGATGGGGGTAGTAGTCCGGCACATCCAGAGGGTGCCGAGTCGGGGAAGCTCACCGATCTTGACTGCAGACCCTCCTGAACGGCCTGGGTCGATTTAAGCCCACCACACGCTTCCCTCCGGCCTCACCTGAGCTTGCTGGGAGGTTTCAGGCCGCTCGGGGTGGAGGTCAGGATCCTGCCAGCAAAGGTCCCGGCCGGGGGCTTGCTCAGAGACTCCAGGGAGGGGCTCTTGCGGAGGAAGTGGTCTCGCTTCTGCTCCTCGCTCCTCCCTTTCAGCAGGTCTTGTGGGGCAGGAAGGGGAGAAACAATTAGGTCTGTCCCCACAGAACGAGGGACCTCAAGAAGACTGGCAGCACGCAGCGGGAGACGGATTCGCGAACGTGACTCGGAGGCCAAGCGGCTTTCGGCAAGGCCTTCCACGCAAACGCTGGCTTTTGTTTCTGTTTTCCCTTCCAGCAACGGCGATGGCGAACCCTTTCACTGACCGCTGCCTCTGGCTGCCCTCTCCTTCCCCTCCCCTCAAAACGAGCCGCACAAGGTGAAAGTTGTGGGGCCCCTTCCTGTGCCTCCCAAATAACCCCCCCACACACACACACACAACACAGAGCATGGCTTTGGAATCCGGTCGACAAGCGGGCGCTGCAATGCCAGGTTGCAGCGTGCCGCCGGCCACACCCCTCTCTGAGACACCATTCCATTCTCCCTCCCGAAACAACCGGCACCCAGCCTTCCGCCCCCACGGAGCGCGCTCGCTTCCCACCAGGCTGGTCGTGGAGGTGCGGGGGCTAGCTTGTCTGCTCGCTTTGGTTCTCCCCCGTTTTGGATTTTTGGGAGCCTTCTGCAAGAGCCACGGGGGCACCCCCTGAACATCCGAACCGCATGGACCACGACCGAAGCGCTGGGCTGAGGGGGGGGGGGCTGGATGTGGGGACAGGGCAGCGCTCCGCCGAGGGCCAGGTGCGTCCACTAAGGAGCCAGCAGCTCCAGGGCCTGTTTGGTCTGCGCACTCAGGGCCACGGGACAGAGAAGAGGGAAGGAGGCACCCATCTGCCTTCCCTAATTCACATCTGCTCTCAAGCCTCTCCCTCTCTGAGCCTTCAAAAGAACCTGTCCCCCCCGTCTGTAAATGCAGCTGCCCAGGTGGGACATTTGATTTCAGAAGGAACCTCAGGCAGAGAGATTTGTGGGGTGGGCACGCTTGGCTTGGGGAATCGGGCGCCTGGGGCCCCCTGAGCCTTTTCGCAGCAAGGTGGATGGTGGGATAGCGGGAAAGCAGGCCTCCAGGAGCGCTCCAGCCTTCACGGGCCGCCCCTCGCATCCCCTCGGCCCCTCACCATGCACCCCCTCCCCACCCCAGGCACAATCCTGCACCCCTCGCGCTTGCCCCCTTTCCCCTGAGCTGCTGCCACCGTTCCTCCAGCGCAGACGAATGCTGGGAATCTTTCGCCCTCACAGCCCCCGGCCGGAAAATACGGATGGCCACGCATGGATCCTGCTCTTTTGGGTTGTCTCTTCCAGTAAACAGGCATCCCCCAGGGACTTCTTCTCGGCCTCCTCCAAAGTGTTTATCTAACTGCTCAATTAAGGTAATGGCTTGATACAGTAAATGCCTCCCCCACCCCTCCCAGAGTTTTCCCTGCAGCATTAAAAAATGCCCCAGATCTGTTTCCATGCCTAGGCCAAAGAATGTGAGCGCATCTGAAGCACTTAACATACGCCCCCGGAAGGGGTTCGGAGTCCTCTCAAAAGCTGAGCCTCCGTAACGCAGTGGAGGCGTCCCTTTGGAGCAGCACCCGGCGGACTAAAGTCCACCGGAGCCTGGCGTGGGGAGACAGAGCCTCGTCCTCCGCTCCCCACACCCGACCCCCAACTTGAGTGCTCCAGCCTGCTGTTCTGCGATCTAAAATGTGCGCAGGGAGGCAGCAGGAGGAGGGAAGAAACGGGGAAAGGCGGCGATCGCAGCTGCAGAAATGAATGGGACGCCGAGCTCCTTGGCCAAGCAGAGCGGAGCTGTTTCTTTGTAAATGTGTGAGTCGCCTCTGGACCCAAGCGGCCTCCCCAGCACCATTTGGCCCGGAGAGCAAAGGCCACTTGCTGTTAACTCTTGAAACAATTGGGGAATTGAAACAATTGTCTTGAAAGCAAAGACTTTTTTTTTTAAAGA